CGCATCACAGGGGTAGGCATGCCACTCAAGTGAGGGCTGTTGTCCGGGCTGGCATTTCTCACGCATCACAGAAGGATGGGCACACTCAGTGAGGCTGTTTGCCGGGTGGTGTTCACCGGCTCACAGGGATGAGGCATCAGCGGAGACTCGTTCCGGGTGACGTTTCATTGGCTCACAGAAGGATGAGCACTCAGGTGGAGCTGTTTTCCGGGTGCGTTCTCACCGCATCACCAGAAGGCGGATGAGACTCGTGAGCCTGTTTCCGGGTGCGGTCTCACTGCATCACAGAGGGATGAGCACTCGCTGGGCTGTTTCCGGGTTGGCGTATCTCACCCGGCCATCACAGAAGGATGAGCACTCAGGTGGAGGCTGTTTCCGCGTGCGGTCGTCACCGCATCACAGGATAAGGTGAGCCACTTCAGTCTGAGGCTGTTTTCCGGGTTGCGTCTCAGCCGCATCACAGGTAGAGGATGGCGCACTCGGTTGGAGGCCTGTTTCCGGGGTTACGTCTCACTTGCAATCACGGGGAAGGGATGAGCACTCGGGCCGGGGAGGCTGTTTCCGGGTGGAGTCTCACCGCTCACCAGGAAGGGGGGATGGAGCATCAGTGAGGCTGTTTCCGGTGTGTTTACCGCCATCACAGAAGGAATGAGACTCGGGGAGGCTGGTTTCGGGTGCGGTCTCACCGCTGAGGCTGTTTCCGGGTGCGTCGCATCCGGCATCACAGGAAGGATGAGCACCGGGTGAGGCTGTTTCCGGTACGTCTTCACTGCATCACAGGAAGGATGGAGGCACTGGCCGGGCGAGATGTTTCCGGGGTGCTGTTCAGACCGGAAACAGTCTCGCTGAGTGCTCATCCTTCTGTGATGCGGTGAAACACACCGGAAACAGCCTCACTGAGTGCTCATCCTTCTGTGATGCGGTGAGATGCAGCCGGAAACAGCCTCACTGAGTGCTCATCCTTCTGTGATGCGGTGAGACTCACCCGGAAACAGCCTCGCCGAGTGCTCATCCTTTTGTGATGCGGTGAGACGCACCCGGAAACAGCCTCATGCGGTGAGACGCACCCGGAAACAGCCTCCCCGAGTGCTCATCCTTCTGTGATGCGGTGAAACACACCGGAAACAGCCTCACTGAATGCTCATCCTTCTGTAACAGCCTCATGCGGTGAGACGCACCCGGAAACAGCCTCCCCGAGTGCTCATCCTTCTGTGATGCGGTGAAACACACCGGAAACAGCCTCACTGAATGCTCATCCTTCTGTGATGCGGTGAGACTCACCCGGAAACAGCCTCGCCGAGTGCTCATCCTTCTGTGATGCGGTGAGACGCACCCGGAAACAGCCTCATGCGGTGAGACGCACCCGGAAACAGCCTCGCCGAGTGCTCATCCTTCTGTGATGCGGTGGGACGCACCCAGAAACAGGCTCGCCGAGTGTTCATCCCGCGCTGGGTCTTCTTGATCTAGTTTTGGAAAAACATCGTACCGGAGGAGGCAGGGGCCCCCAAACCAGTGAGAGACAAGTCCAGTGCCCTGGGAAGAATGTTTCACTTCTCATGTGGACTTCCTTTTAATTTCTTCAGTGTGGCCCCAGGAAACAGTGCATTTGGAACCTTTGTACAGGCGCAGCCCTCACAGTCGGAGGGCGGGATCACAGAGTACACGGAAGCCCACACACCTTCTGCCAAACACTATACTGACCCAGCTAAATGCTGCGGGTTTGTCTCATGCTCCTGTTTTCCTGCCTTGACCTGTGGACCTTCATGATGATGAAATAGAAAAATAAATGTAAAAATACAGGCCTGAAACAGCACGTTTCAAAGCGGCTCAAGTTGATCACAGTGGAGCACATCTGGAAGTTTCGTTGCTAGGGCCGTGAGTTTTGGGTCAATAATAACACAAACATATGACAATCCATTAATCATTTTCTATTTAATATGTAAAATGTATTTGTTAGGCCTTTATTTCAATGAAATTACTTATTTTATTACAATCAAAGTTGTCACATAAGTTATCTTCTATTGAGTAATGATGGACTCAGGGTCAGCCGCTCTTGGACTAGATACCTGTTTTGTAAATAAAGTTTTATTGGAAAATGGCCATTCCCATTTTGTGATGTATCATCTATGGCTGCCTCCTCCCCACTCTGCAGAGTCAATGGCTGTGGCAGAGGCCATGGTCACCAGGCCTCAGCCTTTTAGAAAAAATGTTTTGCAACACCTGATTTAAAGGACTGACAAGTAAAATATTATTGTATCCAAGGCATAAGAATTTTTTTTCTTTTCTTTTTTTCTTTTTTGGACAGAGTCTCGCTCTGTCACCAGGCTGGAATGCAGTGGCATAATCTCGGCTCACTGCAATCTCCATCTCCTGGGTTCAAGCCATTCTCCTGCCTCAGTCTCCTGAGTAGCTGGGACTACAGTTGCACGCCACCACGTCCAGGTAATTTTTGTATTTTTAGTAGAGATGGGGTTTCACCATGTTGTCCAGGATGGTCTTGATCTCTTGAGCTTGTGATCTACCTGCTTTGGCCCCCCAAAGTGCTGGGATCACAGGTGTAAGCCACTGCTCCCGGCCGGCATAAGAAATTTTAATATAGTTTTTATCGAAAACATAAACGTTAAAAATAAAAAAAAATTCAACGATGCTTCAAAGTTATTTCTCTCATAAAATATTTAAAAATGACTAAAATTAAAATGTACAATTCAGATAACAGATATTAAATATTTAAATAAAAATTGTTAATTTTATTTAGAGCTGAAACTCTAGAATTTTGGGGCAAATTTAATGAAGTACTTTGATAAACTAAGATTCCAATTCTAGTGTTCAGTATCCATCCTGTTGCAGGACAGCTATTCTCAAGAGCACACAGCACTGTTCGGCTGGGATGTGAGCGCATCTGGGATGATCTTCTGGGGTGTGAGAATGGGGGCCAGTGAACACCCCTGGTGGAGGCAGCTGAGCGGGGCTGGGGGCCACACCCTGCTATGGGAGCCCGTCACCTCCGCACTCTCCTATTGCAAAGAGTCCATGAGAGTTTACATATTTCTTTCTTCCCTGAGTGTCCTGCTGCCCCTGAAGCTGTGTCTACCTCTGAGGCTGCTGACACCCCCAACCCTCCTGGCATCCGGACAGTGGCCTTTTGTGTCCAGGAGAGGAGCAGTGGCCGGTGTATGCAGAGGTCCCCTGAGGGTGGACGTTTAGGAGGATGGGGGACCTGAGTGTGGGGTACCCCTCACTCCCGGAGAGCGGTCCAGGATCCGTCAGAAATTTCCTGTGTCTGTGTTGTTGGTATACAGATCCCTCTATATTTAGCCTTTGAAAATTGTTACTCATTTTATTCAGCCTCCCAGGTACTTATCCTCTGAAAAGTTGCCCGGGGTCAAAACTGCAGTTCATATTCAGGCAACTTCACAGCTTCTTCCTTGGATTCTGACAGTTTTCAAAAATAAAGACACTGAGTCTCTTGAAGTGAACTCCAGACAGTTTCTTTCTTGTCATCTTTCCTTCTGCATTTCTTCCTAAGTAAGCAATGAAACGGAGAGAGGGGTAACAAAGAGAAGGAAGCATCAGAAGGATTTGTTTATAATCCTGACCTCATATTGAAAATTGGATTTCCTAGACCAAAAAGAAAAAAAATATATCAGGGGATAGTTGTATATCTTATACTTTGAGAAATCTTATGTTAAATAATCCGGGGAAAATAACATCTTTACTTTGAACACTCTACAGCCTGCCTGGTGATGATCTGAAAAAGAGACTGACCAAGGCAGGGGTCTGCCCAGCCCAGCCGAGGTTAGGAGTTTGCTTGGTGGACAGAACAGCATCCTCAGACTTCCCTAGTGAAATTATCTTGGGGTGTTAACCACTTTTCGTTGAGCACCTTAACATAAAATCCTAAAGTTACTGCAGACTGGATTCTAGACATAAGAAGAAAAGAAAGAAGTTTGGGTATGTGTTTTTCCCAGTTCTTATTTTTCTCAATCTCTGGTCATAGGCGGGGTGGGCACCTCCCACCGGGCCTCCATCAGGGCCACGCTCTCCCTGACTGCCGGCTGCCCCTTTCTCTACGTGGTGCCCCTGGTGTGCCTGCCAGCTCTGTCTTGAAGAACAGGGCCGGTCACAGCTGCTCTGGTTTTGAATTGGCCCGTGGTTCCTCATTAGCTGCAGAATGACTTGGAGGTTCTTAGTCTGACCCCGTGAAGCCCACAGAACATTCTGGATGTTGCCTCTCTTTTCTGCTTTACAGGCCTGTCACGTGTGGCAGGTCTCCCTCAGGCTTTACTTCCCATCCAAGCACCTAAACGTGTCCAGTCCCGATGCTAAGCACACGATCACACTCATGTGCAGAATGCCTGGGCGAGGATCCGACCTGGGTCACTGGCCTGAGACCTTGTGCAGGGGACATAAGCCCTCTGAGCTCTCCAAGGCGGAGAGAATCACATCTCACGGCCTCTATAGCTCAGGTAGCTCTGAGTGTAGTAGCATCTGCACAGCATCTTTCATTTCTATCCTTCCTTCCAGTTGCTTGGAAGGCTGAGGCCAGAGGATCACTTGAGTTCAGAAGCTCAAGGTTGTGGTAAGCTATGATCCTGCCACTGCACTTTAGCTTGGGTGACTGAGTGAGACCTGTCTCAGAAAAAGAAAAAGAAAGAGAAGAAGACTCAACTGCAATGGCATTTTAAAAATGCAATTCACGTGACACCGCCACAAACAAACAGGCCAACAATTGTTCCTTTACTTGAACTTTAATGTATGGTATCTGTACCTCTTTCTGGTACAAAGATATAAGGAAATCAATGATAATCAAGCCTCTTCTCTGTTCAAATGCAGGCAGATGACGGAACTGCTTTGAATTCTTCTGTTATTTTCTTATTGGAGTAGTTTATGATGGTGGGTTTTAGTTTGAATATTAATTAATTAATTTATTTTTTGAAACAGAGTCTTGCTCTGTTGCCCAGGTTGGAGTGCAGTGCTGACATCTTGGCTCACTGCAACCCCCACCTCCCGGGTTCAAGCGATTCTCCTGGCTCAGCCTCCTGAGTAGCTGGGACAACAGGTGCGCACCATCACGCCCAGCTGTTTTTTGTATCTTTAGTGAAGACAGCGTTTCGCCATGTTGGTCAGGCTGGTCTCAAACTCCTGACCTCAAGTGATCTGCCTGCCTTGGCCTCCCAAAGTGCTGGGATGACAGGTGTGAGCCACCATGCCTGGCCTGTTTGAATACTTTTAATGGATCTACACAATTCTTTGTGAATTAAAAAAAAAAGAAGAAATGAAGGCAGCTATAGAGAGTAACTCTCTGAGGCACATATGTTGGTCTTTTACTTCCTGAGGCAATGTTTTAAAATTTATCAAAAATAGATTTTGAAGCTCTTTGGTCTCATAATCACAAGTAAATGTATGTCAGACCCTTTTCTGCTGTCCTCAACACGGATCCCCAGACTCCCTCCTCTCCCTGCTCCACCCAACTAAAGTGTGGGGTGGGTTGAGAGAAGGTGTGTTCGGCTCATTCCCTCACTGGAGGAGGGACAAGGAGGTCCTGTGGCTCATGGCCATGGTCCTGTATCTGGTCACCAATTCTACTAGGCAGCCATATCCATACTGGAGTTGACTCTATCCATGTCTGCTGGGGTGGGTGCCGGACCTCTGCTCTGCAGCTTCCTGTGACTCTATCCGTGTCTGCTGGGGCAGGTGCTGGACCTCGGCTCTGCACCTTCCTGTGACTCTATCCGTGTCTGCTGGGGCGGGTGCCGGATCTCTGCTCTGCACCTTCCTGTGACTCTATCCGTGTCTGCTGGGGCGGGTGCTGGACCTCGGCTCTGCACCTTCCTGTGACTCTCTCCGTGTCTAACTAGGGCGGGTGCTGGACTTCGGCTCTGCACCTTCCTGTGACTCTATCCGTGTCTGCTGGAGTGGGTGCTGGACCTTGGCTCTGCACCTTCCTGTGACTCTATCCGTGTCTGCTGGGGTGGGTGCTGGACCTCGGCTCTGCTCTGGAATTTGAGGGTCTTTGTGCTGCTTGCTATAATCATGGGGCTTCACGCACAGCCACGTGTCATTCCTGCTTTGACTGGTGGGTTTTGTGCATGC